TGATCTTGCAAGCACCAGGCAAGGCCAGAGCCTGAGTTTGATTGATGTTGATTCCCAGTGATGATCCGCCCCCGCCGAGAACCTGACACAGGCATAGTGGTGATGAACTCACAACACTGGCAAGGTTTGAGCAGCATCCTGAAGACGGGGTTGAGGAATTCCCTGTGATATAGTTAAGACAAGGTGACAGGCTGACTAACACATTTGTACAACTCGATTGCGCTGCAGCTCCTGCGCACATCATTGCCATTACAACAAAAACCAAACCCATGTTCATTTTGCTGTGTGCCATTGGAATTCTTTTATGCAAATGTGTTGGATACCTTTGTATATTCTTTTAGTTTTTTGTTGAAGATCTTTTACTCTGTGATGACAATGATGGTTTTGGAGGAACAGGGTTTAAGATTTTATAGTTCAAGGAGGGAAGAAGCTGACAATAGTAAGTTGATGTGGGTGAACAACTCCTCCTACTATCTAACAGGATCTATTTGGTGTTGTGTGGCAATATTTTTATGATAAGGTATTCAAACCTCTATTATGGGGCCCTTGTCTTGATATATTGAGTGAAAAATTCCAAAGAGAAGTCGGTTAAACGGGTTACCAACTTTTAGCATCTGCGGCTGATTATCTGTTTATGATGATAGCTTTATTGTGTTCAACCTTGAAGACTTTGAAAACATGACGACAGATAATGAAAGAACCACGTGTCATAGGGGAGAAACAAATAATATATGCAACATTTATACAAGCAAGGAGACTTTGAACTGTAACTAGCAGTAGATTAGTATGTTAAACAATTTGAAGCCCAAAATAAGCATGGCAAGCATTAGTGTAACAATTTTTGCCAATTTCTATCAGATAATTTAACTAACCGAATTTCATAGAACTTTAACACCTAAAAAATTTCTCTCATTTTATTTTGTACTGAATTGCCTCTAAATAATTAGAAAAATTTACTATGTCACCCTCTAAATTAGACATGACACCTCCTAATTTTATTTATTCTAATTTATCTCTTAATGAGATACAAACAATTTTCGGACAAAATTTTTTGGTAGATGGGATGAAATTTCCGGTACTAAATTTTTTATAAGAGTAAATTTCAGTAGTGCATTTGAAAAAATTTATGGTAAATCGAAATTTTTAAAATGACGTGACAATATCAGAAATTTGAGTTATAGTGAAATTTATGATAGATTATTTTTTCAACGGTCGAGATTTTGCCGACATGTTTGGAGAGTTCTGATTATACTGACACATTTGCATGGTCTAGAATGTATCATCATTTATATAAATAGGTGTTTTAGATTGGTTATAGGGTGAGACATATTAAAATATGTCTCTTCTGATTAATGCAGAAGTGTATTACAATGGATGCAACCCTGCTGTTGAATTCAAGATTCCAGATGACTCTGAATCTCTTGCCACCTTGAAAAAAATGTTGAATAGTTTGCTATCTGATTCCGATAACAGAAGGGTGACAAATGTCAATTTTCGAGAGAATTGGATTGATACAAACGGGATGATAAAATACAACCTAATCAAGTTAAAGAATGATGCAGATGTGAATGCCACGTGGAAATCATTTCACCGTAGGATAACTAAATGTCCGATCGAGTTGGATGCGGAGATCCAAAGATCCGTCGACGACATAATGAAGATGCTGAAATGTCCATAGTCATCCGGTAGTGTCTAGGTTTTCATGTTTAGTTGTTTTAAGGTTATGTTGTACTATGCTATGTTATATTTATAACGGAATCGAAACATGTAATTGCCAAAAGATTATGCAATAAATAAGATGTATGTGTATCACAAAATATACATATAATACAACCATAATGAAACAAATCTACATAGACCCTCCACGTTGGTGGCTCGACAGAAACCTTGACACGTGAAGGTCCTGAAACATCAGACGCTGCAGCCGGTGGTATGACCCGAGGGTGTGACACACGGTGAATCAGTCAGAGGACATCGGCCAACCCATAGTTCGGAAGTCTGTGCCTCATCAGGTCGGACTTGAGCTTTGTCTCTATCAGTCTGCCTACCCACAACGGTACAGTATTTGCCCCTGATCCTCACTGCAAAATAAGAAAAAATTAGGAAAATATGAACTATCAGAAATTTCTAAATTTCTGGTATTTTTCAAAAAAAAATTGAACTACCAGAAATTTCAAAATTTTCGGAAGTCCCGAAAATTTTGAAATTTCCGATACAAAAGGAAAATGGTTTACAATGGAAAATTCAAAATTTTCATTACGAAAATTCTGGTACAAAATACCGAATATTTTGCAAATATATCAGAATTTCCTTACTATCACTAAATTTTCGGTGTCGTCTTGAAATTTCTAGTATCGCCACAGAGATTTGAAAAAATTTCGATTGGTCACGAAAATTTTAAATTTCTGAAAAATATTTAGGTCGGAATAATTTAATCTTTTCATACTATTTGAGAGAATGTCATGGGTAAGAGGGGGATTGACATGTTAATTCCTCAAATAATTACCAAAAACATTTTTTTATTGTAAGTTAAGACTGGTAAAACGGGCAAATTTCGTCTATTTTGTTTCATTGTGCTTTTAACTTGTCAAAAAATTGACCAATCTCGTCCGTTGTTTTGTCTCATTGTGCTTTTAATTTGTCAAAAAAAATTCCACTCTAGGTGTAAAAAAAAAAGCTTTTAAAAAAATGGGATGGATCAAGTTCAAAACTTCAGTTGGTCTTAGTTAACCTAGCGGATTATGCAGATCGATTCAATAGACTTGTCATACTTCACTACTCAGACTTTATAACAAGGTTGGCTTAGTAGATTCATTATGTTTCGCAACTCTACTTTATTTAGGTACTGTGATTTATGATGAACTCTCTCACCATGATAGACTTAATAGGTGGTTGAGTCATCTAACCTCCAAATAATGTATTTAGATTCGTCATCATAGCGAAATGATTTATATATATTTTTATACATGTTTTATGTAGAACTTGAATTTTTTTTTCTTACTGTAAAACTTACTAGTTAAATTGAAATTTAGGATTAAACCAATTTGATTAAAAGTTCTTAAACATCTGACATTTTTATTAAAATAAAGTAATCTATATAATTGAGAATTGCTAGTATGATTTGGTTATCCACCACAGCAACTAACCTAATAAAGAATGATTTGACTTGGCCATTACCAGCAAGTTTATGATCGATTAAGCCAATAATTTTGTGACAACATAACAAGGATCATAATTTGCTCAGTTAAAATGGAGGCTCTATAGGTATCACAAGTTTATCAAAAATGATCATGTTACATTCTTCAAAATCTTCATACCTGGTATTAGTTAAAGTAGTTGAGCTTTTAAACCAACTTTGGAACCAACTATTATTCTCCCTCCACAAGTTCTCTATCTATAAAATACCATTCCCTTGTTGTATTCATCATTCCCAACCATCAAACTCACAAACCCATTTTTCTTCTTTACTCTAGAACACATCAAAACCTCATAACTATTCAAATTCCTAACATAAATTATACATGGAGCACTTTCGATCTCTCTACCACCTAACTATGATATTAGTCGTGGCTATGGTCATGGCTGCACCGGCCTATGCCCAGATCACAACGCCGTGTAACATATCAATGGTAACCAGTTACGTAAGCCCTTGCATGAGCTTCCTCACAAATAGCAGTGGCAACGGAACCTCACCCACTGCTGATTGCTGCAATTCCATCAAGTCCCTCACAAGTGGAAGCAAGGATTGTCTGTGTCTCCTTGTCACTGGCAATGTTCCTTTTCAATTACCAATCAACAGAACCTTAGCTATCTCTCTTCCTCGTGCTTGTAACTTGCCCGGTGTTCCACTTCAATGCAAAAGTATTGTTTCCTCAATCTTCATTCTTTCTTTTTCATGGAACAAATATTTAAAGTTTTATAGTGATTTTAAATCATTGACACAACATGTGTGATTTTCTGCAGCCTCGGGTTCACCACTTCCTGCTCCAGGTAAACCGTGATACGATACTCTAATATGCCTAAAATTTACAAACCTGTTTCAGTTTTACTAAATCTTATGTGTGATTTTGACAGGACCGGCGTCTTTTGGCCCATCTCTTTCCCCAGCATCTACCCCAGCTGCTCCATCTCTTAGTCCTCAAGGTACATATTACTTCCGGTCAAGTTTCTAAATTGTGGTTACGGCTGCTGTTCTGTCACGATTTTTGATAATGTGCAAATAAATGGAGGTAAACAAACACTTGGCCGCAAATAACTTTTACATTGTGGCTGCAATTGTTGTTGCAAACCACAGTTTGAACTGCAATTTCAAACCATGTTTATATTTTGAAATTTTTTTCAATCTTGCATAACATAAAGATAGTTTGAGTACTGATGTCTAATGTCACCTTCTTTTGTTTGAACAGCTTCTTCTGTACTCCCCTCACCATTTACCCCTTCTCTGCCACCACAGCCCGAATCAACCACTCCATCATCTTCGCCAGCAAATCCCGATATCCCATCCGCAACACCCGGAAGTGGTCGCTCCAATCTCACTCCATCGTCTGCTGGATCATTATCCCACACTCTCCTATCATCTGCTGTGGTCATTGTATTTGGATTTGCTGTTTCTAAACACTACTAGTTTTGCTGTTTTTGACATCCTACCTAGATTTTCATGAAGAAATCAATAGTTTGTTGCAATATGTGTGAACCCACATTGGGGGTGGATTTGTATTTTTATGTAATATATGTGTGCATTGAACATTAATTAATGTTTTTTACTTTTTAAGTCAAAATTTGTTGGCCAATTTTTAATTTCACTGGTCAGTGTTTGAAAAATAATAATTAACGCACACACATTTATCAACAACTACTAGAGTTAGTTAAATACACGTCATCATAATCTTCATCTTCATAGAGATAAAAGGGTAACTCTGAGAATTCACCTGAATCAGTTAGTTTTTCTCCCGCCAAAACTCATAACGGTTTGATCGTTCTGTTTTGTAACTGCTTCCGGCATGGGAAACGCTTTCTTCTTCTTCCTCCTCCTCCTTGTGTTGAATCTGAGTAACTTTGCTGTTACAGAAGCGGCGGCGCCGCCACTTTCATCCAGAGGAGGATGCACCGATCAGCTAATTCTATTCTCTCCGTGTCTTTCTTACGTCTCGTCTCCTCCAAACAACCTAACGGAGACAGCTTCAACCAAATGCTGCAAGGCTTTCTCGTCGTCGTTCGCACCGAACTCCCTCTGTTTCTGCCATCTCCTCCGTGACAATCACATCCTCGGCTTCCCTATGAACTCCACAAGGCTTCTTTCACTCTCCTCCCTCTGTCTTTCGCCCCCACCAACCGTTTCTTCTCTCAATTTTCTTTGCGGAGGTTCCTTCTTCATTCTTTCTTTTTCTTTTCAATATTCTTACGATTCTAGATGTATAATACATAATTAACTAGAGAAAATTGATTAATCAAAATTTAATTGTTGTTTGATTCACATTATTACAGAAACACCTACTCTTCCTCCTCTCGGTAGCGCTGATATTTTAAAGAATCCCAACAATTCTTCAGTAACAGGTATTTTGTTTATTTTCTGCTCTCAATTTTTATTTTGTTAATAATTATCATAATCACCATAGTTATTAATTAGTTAGGAAGAAGCTTCTGTAATTAAAAGAAGATTACTATTACACTTGTTTATGAAAGGAGTAAGGGAATCATATTTTTGTAATTGAAGCTAACTATATATATAGTAACATTTTATCATAAAAAAAATTATACTAGTTTTATTTTTAGTTATTTAAAAATATTTAGTGATAACAAGTCTTAATTATTATTTCTTGATGTATAGTTTTTAAATTGTTTTAAATATTATTTGGATGAACTCTTCGTATAAAGTTTAAAGCAGAATTTTGATAATTCATCTTTTTCATACTTTTATCATTATGGCAACCTTAATTTTTATAATTTCAGAAATATGAGGAGGAAGAATATTAAGAGTGAAATTCAAATGGTTTTGAAACCAATCAGCATTCTCAATTGATCTGTCGATTCTAGAGTAATAGTACCAGCTTGATGTTTCGACTAAATATAATAATTTCCAATAGTGTCCATCTCATAAAGCTACTTATTATCCATCATCTCTTTTGAAGTCTCCTAAAATGCACCAAAGCCCCTGAATTTGCAAATTGGCCAGATCATGCCACAGAATTTTCCTCTGCTCAAGCTTATTCAAGGCATAGACCGCAGTCAATCAAAACTTGAAATTACCATCAATGTCATATACAGAGCAGTGAATCATCTGACTAGTGTGACTAAGCAGTTTCACATCAATACTCTTATTATTCCATTGTAGCCAAATTTTACCATTATTATGGAAGAGATAATTGCCAACATAGTTACCATCCAAATTCAATTTATTTCTAAAACTGATAGCTTTACAACTTTGAACTCTAGTCTCTATCAAAATATTAATATCAGCACTAAGAGAATGAAGACGTAAGTTAATCTCTTTTATCTTAGTGATTTTATTTAACCTCCTAAAATTCCAAGCAACAATCATTGATCATTATTTTGAAACTCTAGGAGGTCATTTAAAATCCCTAGAGCATCAAATCCATTTCCACAAACAAGCTTAAGATCTTGAGAGATACCTTGAATATGTTTCTTGCCCCTATCCTTACCACTTTTATTAATTGCTATCCAATTTTGATCCACATCAGAAGCATGCTCCATAGCCAATTCTTTCTCAATCACTTTGTTTTTGTCTTGCACCATAATTGGAACTTTTATCTCCTCAATAGGGCTGGATTTTGGCTTCCATTGCATAGTTTTAGGTTTAGATTTGTCACAGTTGTGACCAATATTTTGGCATTTCCCACAGAAGAGAGGCATCCACTCATACTCAATAGGTCGCAGCATTTTTTCTCCATCTTGATCTCTGATAGTAATGACCTTAGGAAGCTCCTTCGTTATATTCATTTCCACCAAAATTCTAGCATAGGATACTCGAAGCCTATTAGTTGTACACTCATCAGTGACAATAGGATTACCAAGAGTATTTCCAATCTTGTTCAAGCTTTTATCCCCCCAAAGGTACAGAGGAAGATGCAGAAGCTTAACCCATATGGGAAGGGTTCAGAGCAAATCATCTTAGGTTGAAGTCAGGACGCCATTCGGAAATAAGAAGCGGCATACTTCTGATCGTATATGGACCTCTCATCAAAACATCACCCCTTTCCCGGAAAGTCTTGAACCGGAGGATAAAATAATCTTCCTCATGATAGTACATGTCTGGGAGTTGGACAAAATTCCAGCTCTTGACCATGAAGTTTTTAACCGCATTCATGCTGAGATCACCACCCAAAGCGTATAAGACTGGCGATGATTGTCAAAATCTGAGTTCTGCAACGACATCTTCTTCTTCAATTTCAACATTAACAATCTTCGGAGCTATGAAGGTCATAGATTTACCTTTAACCTGATTTTTATTGTCATTCAAAACATCAACCTATAACTTCCTCACATTATCAGATTTTGGGCTTAGGGTTTCAGCAGATTCAGCTACTACTTCAACCGCCTCTTCCTCCAATTTACTTGTACTAGCTTGTTGACTCAGAGACCTTTGGTGTGCAGAGATGTTTGCCACAACCATAGAAACATTGCGCGGAGAATATTCAGGGTCAGACGACGGCGACACCGGATTCTTCGGACGCTCTCGCGCTCTCCCCATTCCTGATTGTAATAATTTATTTTAAAACAGTTTACAAGCATTACATTAAACAAAAATATTTACATATTTCTTAGATATTTATTTCTTTTATATCATTGTCAATATATTCTCGGTATATTTTAAATAATATTAGACAGTTTTTTTTTATCAAATGATAATTTATCTAACTAACAGTAACAAAACTGTTGATTTTTCGATAATACCTTCAAAATCCTTTAATTATTTATCAAAATTGACATGAAATATGTGATTAAACAGGGTCAGCATCCAGTGTTTCAGGAGGGAAAACGGTACCCCGCAAAGGCAAGGGAGCAGGGACAACATTGTACTTTCCATCGTCAAATGGTTCAGCTTCTGGCGGATACTCCTACAAGTTTTTGCTACTCGTTATGCTTCCACTCTTCAACCTCATCATGCTCTACTTTTAATGCTCAAAGTTTCTCAATTAGTAAATACTTACTGGTTTTCATTACCATTACCATCACCATGTATATTCATGGAATATATAGTTGAAGCTCAAGTTTTTGTTTCACCTTATATTGAGAATGACCAATACAGACTTTTCCCCTTTGAGTAGGGTAATATTGAGAATGACCATTACATTGCAGACTTTTCCCCTTTGAGTAGGGTTAGTGGGCCATTGTTTATATCCAATTTGCACAGTAAAAGTTGCATGCACCATTTGTTCCTTGCAATAATTCCATAAGTTATAGATAGACTCAGAAAAGTTGTAGTTGCCAAGCAAATAACCAAGTCAGAAGTTTAACATCATATAATTAATCAATTCTTCTAGATTCAATGTCAGTACCAGATTATTTTTAAAAAATAAAATAATTCTAACTTTCCTTTTTCTCTGATCGCCGTCATAATAAAGTTCGCGGCAGTCTTTTTTTCCCACATCATTCTAATTACAAAATTCAAATGATGTTAAAATTTGGCATAAACTAATTGCCCAAAAAAGAGAGTATAAATGTGAATATCAGAGTCCAAAAGTACTTGGTGCTGGACTACTTCCAGCCATCAGACCATTCAGCCTCATCGGTGACAGGCTTAGGTAGCTCTGGGAAGGAATCTTGACCAGATTCTACATTGTTAGAGGGTGCGTTCCAGCCATTAGAGCATTCACCATGACCAGATTCTACATTGTTAGGGGGCACTGTGTTCCAGCCATCTGACCATTCAGCTTGACCGGATTCTACATTGTTAGAATTCCATCCATCAGACCATTCAGCTTCATTGGTGACAGGTTTAGGGAGCTCTGACTGGAAGGAATCTTGACCAAATTCTGCATTATTAGAGGGCCATGTGTTATCTTCATTGAAGCCAAAGCCAGAGTTCTCTCCAATGTCCTCATGAAAATGTTCTATCCTTTCTGGAAGAGCGCAACCCAGATAGGATGAATTGTCCACACAGTGCCACAGCATTTGGCTCCAATGATTGTCCTGCCAAAAATGACAAGTGAAGAATGATTTCATAAACAACCATGGTTATCAGAACAAAGGTCTAGCAAACAATCATGATTGGAACCTGTCTTTGTTTAGTATCAAATTTCTTTTCATCTTTTCTAACCTTAATTATAAAGCTAAACAGACAAACTAACTAGTAATGTAGAAAGCGGTAGTACTGCAGTGGTAAGCATCCCCTTTCCAATTACAGCATAAAAATAAAGCTAATTAAACGAGTATCGCTTTAGAGTAGAAGGCTTTGACTTACAGGCAATGCAATCAATGAAAGGATATATAAGAATGTTTTATTTACAGTAAAAAGTTGATAAAAGGAGTCATGGTTTGTTGAATAAAAGGCAGTACCTTGCATATAATATGAGGGTTTCCAATTATAACCAGCAATGATATAGCACGGGTTATAGCCACATTAAACCTTCTATGATTGCTCAAAAAGCCAAGACAGTGGACTCTGTCAAACTCATTGTGTTTGATGGTTGATCGAACAGTCGATACAATGATAACATCCTTTTCCTGTCCTTGAAATTGCTCAACACTGCCAACTTTGACATCAGGCATTTCTAGATTTTCAAGCGTCTGTCTTATTTTCAACACTTGTTGCCTATATGGTGTTATAATGCCAATGTCTTCTTCAGTTATTTTACCACCAGCAATCAGCCTCTTAACAGTTTCTACAACTTTGCTCACTTCGATTCGGTTGAACCATGAAGGGTTATTCCCTTCTCTTTCATCGCACCCTTGGATACCAAAGAAAAGAACAGGGAAATCCTTATTAGGGAGAAAATCCGCGGTCATCGTGAAAGTTGCGGAATCTCTACATGCCATCAACTCCCCAAAATAGAAAAGCTTTGAAGGGAGGTCTAGAATCTCTGGGTGACATCGGTAGTTTTTAACCAGTTTTGTAATATAATTGGTGTCTCCATTGCCATACAACTCACATTTAAACAATCTTTCCATGTAAGAAACCCCCAATTGGTACTCATCTGCTTTCTTGGAAAATATTACAGGGCCTAACTGCAATGGATCTCCAGCCAAAACAACAACAGTGTCTCTTCGGCAGAGATGTGCTATAGGGATCATGGTTTCAGGTTCTGAAGCTTGGCCAGCCTCATCCAAGAAAATGTGAGAGAAGTGACCACGGGAAACATCTTCTGCAAAAAGAAGAGATGCACTCATATATGTGGATACCACAATCCTATAATGTTTTAGGGCACTGACTGGGGGGCACTTAAATATCATCTCGTCAAAGAAGGAGAAGCGAAGAAATTCAGGTTTTACATCGTCATACGGCCTGGCAGTGGCATTGAGCCTAAATACTTCATTATCTCGAAATTCAATATCCTTTTCAGCAAGGAGTTTCTCCAGTATGTGGTCTGCTGCACTGTTTGAGGGGGCACAGACAAGAATACGAGTATTCTTATAATGTTGGTAGAGCTGGAGGATTGCTTCAATTATTGTCCTAGTCTTTCCTGTGCCTGGAGGCCCGTGAATCACATAAGGCGGTGCACTTCTGCAACCCAGAATCATTTTGATAGAGCGCATTTGCTCCTCATTTAAAGAACCAGATATGGGAACCAGATTGGTGTTTTTAATGGACCTTCTTCTGGATGTAGATGGGAAAAGAAACTCAGTTCCTAAGCTTTCTGCTGCCTCAACTGCTTGATATAACCTTCTCATATTTATCCTATTATAGGTGAAGTGGACATTATAGAGATCTTCATCTCTATGGTAATAGTGAAATTCAGGATCAAATTTCAAATAGACCTCGTCAGCTTCAACCCGGTGAATAAATCCCTGCAGAAATTAAAATATCATTTTAGTTTTTTACATAAAGAGAATGATCCTGACTGTAAATACATTTTTATACTAATTGAAAGTAAATTTGATTGCTTAAATTTGTGAAAAATATACCCAAAATCAATTAATAGTAGCATGTACTTCATACATACAGACAGCGGTGGATTCATCTACTCTAAAGATTTACATATACAGACCTACAATTATTATTTTCTTAAAAAATACTCTATAATTTTGGGTTGGGCTTAACTCCACCCTAAAAAACCGACTTGTAAGGTGAGAGCTTCCCCCCACATATAAACTCATTTTCAGACCATATCTCATCCATTATATGAGACTCTTAACAATACTAATAATTTAAATATAGTGTTTCCTAGATTCTACAATTGTGCATTTACCATTTATATGCATATCGAGAATACCTAACAATGACATTGTGAAGTATATCCAAATGAATTGAGACAGTTTAGAAGATTGAAAAACGTTAATGCCAAAGCAAATTAAGTCGAACTCAGAGGCGAGAGCTGCATTATATGAACATGAAGGAGTTAAAAACAAATTATCTTTGGTTAGCCTAGTGCAAGGTCAACCGGCATATTTCAAGTGGATAATTGCTGGTGATATATCCTCTGTAAAAGAGACTCCTATGAGGTTCTCAAAGCAAAGAAAAGAGACAGACATGTCAAATCTATTATATGAAGCAACCACTTTTTTTTTTCAAATCTGTAGTAATCACCAGCTTTAATTTTATTCAAGGTTTAGAACCTACATAAGAGCTCGGTCCATCATAGCTGCCTCAGGGCCATTAATGCAGAGGTAGTATCCATAATTCATAAATAAATAACACAGGGAATGCTATCAAATCAATGTGTATCTAATGTAATTTTCTTGAATACATGATACATGATACATTAACACCAATGAAAGGGCATTGTATGGTAAATGATCAAGATACATGATAAGGACAACTACTCTTACCTACAGAATACAGATCAGACTCCATTTATAACACCAAAAAGTATAGAAACATGTACATAATTATGATATGCATCTGATGACTAGGTTTGACGACCGAGTTCCAGTTCAACAAAGCCGAAGAATTGATTTATCCAAATGAGAAATGCAAAGTAATAATGTTGCGGTATGCAGACAAAATAAGAACCAAACCTGATAAACATGTGCAGTGTTCTGGTCTTGTTCAGAAGCCAGCTTGGCAAAGATATAATCCCCATGCACCAGTGAAGGCCTTCTCTCAGCAAGCCCAGGTACCTCCAAGGACAAATAATTATTTCCTCTCGTTCTCATAGTTACACATTCCATGTCATAAGTTCTCATATCATCCTGAAAGAAGAAGTCAATGGCAAACAATAATATAAAAAGGTCAGACTTGTTATCTTATTTTGGTTTCTTTCATTTTAAAAAAAAAAAGATTACCTCTAAATGTATCTCTTCCATTATGATTAGTGTTTTGAAATAAGACGCATAATTCCTTCTTGTAAGACCATCTTCAACGACTTGAGGGACCTGATTGTTCTCAAGCAAGAGTCTAATATCCTTGGGGACGTCATATTTTGGAAGCCTATTAACGTATTTTCGATTTGCCTTCCCTGCAGGGCGTGAGCCGGGAACAAAAGAGTCTACAACAAATTTTTCTTTCTTCCTTCCTTTTGAATAAGGTCTGTTAGAAGCCAGAGATTTTGAGATCTTGTCTTCAACTAAGAGGAAAACCACCCTTTCAATTTTCTCATCTCCAATGTCAAAATACAATACAGATGAGTACATGCCCATGTCTTTTGTCTTGCAAGAGAGCCATATATTTAAGACCTCGCGAGGCTGAAGCATCCTGTCCTCCACTCTAAAAGACTCTATAAAGCTCTCTGAATCTGAATTTTCCGGTGGAGGCTCCATAAGAGAAAGAGTAAAAGAGTCGGGAGGATTTGATGCAAAAATATATACGCCCCACAGGTCCACTGGTTCATCCGTAGTATTATTAATAGTTATCAATTCCACAGCAGTATCTCCAAGAAATACTGATTGAGGCTTCCCATTCACAAATGCAAACGGGACAGATACGACTACCGGAGCCCCGTCATCAGGAACGTAACTGCAAACAGATCTCTCTTCCTCAAAATCTAGAAATCCAATTTCAGCCTTTTCCCCTATAACAGAGCATTCCTCATCTGACCTGTATCCAACAGTACTCATTGTGAAAATGTTGTGTGCTACTTCCAAGTTTCAGTTCTGCAAAAAAATATCACCCAGAGAAGAATAAATATACATTGGATAAAATTTTCATCAAAGGCAAAAAAATATATGAGAAAGATCTTGTTCCCCTTTCGAGTAAATCAAAATCATGAAACGAATACAAATTCTCTTCTTTAACCAACTAACTAACAAAAGCGCGAGAGGATCTTGTTCAAAGAGTGGCAGCATATATTGTAAACTCCAAATAGCGGCGAAAGCGGCCAATTTTGAAACCGAGATAATGGTAATAACATGTAGGGTTAGTTACAACCTTATTCTAATATTTTTCAAAGTAACAAAGAAGGAAAAAGTTGTCACTGATGAAGAAAACCCCAAAGAGAGAAGCCAAATCTTCATTAATGATACTTCGGCCCATCATTCGACTTTCTAAAAAGCCCGTTATGTTAAATCCAGAAAAACTCGATTGTGCCAAACCCTAAAACTGATTCCCTTTATGTACAACATCTCATCTCCTATCGCTGCAACCTACTCGCCACTATTGTGAACTCTGGCAGACATCTTCCGTTCCCACCACCACAGCCACAACATGAAAACATTTTGACAGCTATTAGCATTGCACCAGAGTATACCTCAATTCCACTCCGCGATCGGGCGGTGTAACGGCACTAATAACAACATACGTAATACATGAAAACATACAAAAATCCAAAGTGCATTGGTGTAAAAATAGCAAGCCCCTAATAAGAGGAAATAAAATCATGCATATTGAAGAAAAAATTGAAGCATAGATAGCGATAAACATGAATAATGGTGAAAGTGAAAAAAGAGAGAGGAGGGTTTCGGAGTTGCATACAGTTTATTGCAGTGTATGAAAACCCCAAGTGACGAAATGAAAGAGAACTCTTTTCACTCACTTCCTTCCAATTCGAATCGTCATCATAACTATAAATAAACTAAAAAAAATTCCCTACTTCTTTTAACTCCGAAACGTAACAAAATAACTCAGCACCAAAAGATTGTTTTAAGTAAATTTAGTAGAACCTACTAAGAATTTTAATTAATGGAAAAACAATAAAACCGACGAATTAACATCCCGACACCTAAATTATACATCACATATGTTTATTTTTTCTTAATTTCAAAAATGCCCATAAATAATTTAAGGGATGGCAAAGAACGAAATTTTTGACAGTTTTTATGAAATTTTTGATAAAATTTTTAAAAAAAAATTCATGAAAATTTCAAATACAATAAAATTTTCAGTATTGAATTTTTTGTAAATAAACTATCGAATTTTTTAAAAAAACTGATAATTTTTCTTGGAAATTTTCGATAAATCTATTTTTTTTGCAAAATTTCTGATTTTTTTTGGAAAAAAAAAACAATTTTTTTTCGTAGCATTTCGAAATATACTGAAATTTTCGATATGAACTGAAATTTTTTGATATTGTACTGAAAATTTCAAAAAAAAAATCTAAAATTTTTAAAATAATCAAAATTTTCTCGAAATTTTTTATACCCTCAAATTTTTGATAAAACTCGTGTTTTTTTTTTAAATATAGTGATTATTCACAAGGGTATAATGATCAAAACATAAATGATGAGGTGTCATGTATAAGTGGGAGGTGAGATAGTAATTCCTCTAAAGAATGTTGCTAGAATACGGATTAACCGGTCGATTGGACCGGTCGAACCAGTAAATTGAGGGAGGGATCATCGATTTTGTCTGATTGTTGAATCGGATATACTATTGAATCAGTGGAAATCAATCAAAATTGATAAAAATCAAAGAAACGACAAAAACCAACGGATCAAATACATGTTTTTTTTCTATGACAAAATGTCTTTGTTTTCATGACATTTTAAAATATATATATATATATATATATATATATATATATATATATATATATATATATATATATATATATATATATATATATATATATATATATATATATATATATATATATATATATATATATATATATATATATATATATATATATATATATATATATATATATATATATATATATATATATATATATATATATATATATATATATATATAATTAGACTTTATTTAAAAATTATTTCGAACAACTTTCTCTTTTATTTGCAATTAGACATGGTGTAAAATTTATTTAAATTTGTATTTTATATTCTTTTATTGTGAGCGATGATTATATTTGGAATTATAAAATTTTGTAAGTGTCACGATATTTTTTAGAAATCGGGTCATCTGGTTCTACCAATTTAATAAATATATAGTTTTGTTATAGAGACTGGTTTATTCAATTGAATTTTTCGATTTAATCAGGTTTAATCATGCAATTCAACCAATAACTCGATAATTAGACTAATGAATCAGTGATCGAGTACTTTCACCAGTTAATGTTCAGTCCAATTTTTAAAACATTAAAACATATAAAAAATGGGTTATCATAATTTTCAGATATTCCCTTTTAAAATATTCATCCGTTATTGAAATTTAAGAGAAAAAAATACTAACCTTTTATTTTTTTAATTAAAATTTTGCTAAATAACATGCTAAAAGTTGAAAGTTCAAGATTCAATACTACTTATAATTTAATTGTTGATTGTGAGTTTTACGATGCTTGGTTGATGACAACTTACAAAATAGTTGTGAGTTTTACGATGCTTGGTTGATGACAACTTACAAAATAGTTTTAATTTTGTTGCATTCCATGTGTAGGGTATTGCGTTTCCAGATAGTGTTTCTAGAATTTAGGCTATCTATCATATACTAGAAGTGACTCATTATGACCACTCCCAATTGGATTCTAGATTTCTTTTTGAAGCATTTTGCTCAAACGTCTTTTCTTCTTAAGACGGGTTCTCCTGAAGCGAAATCTCTAGGTAAAACTTTCGTGGTATGCTTGGATCTAATTGTTTGCTTCATCAAGGTCTCATTCAAGACAACCCAATCTCTCAGTTATTCTAAAAGGTTTAATTCTTCTTTATAATCTTCTTTGTTAACCTCTCGAGGGGCTCATTGGGAATTTCTCCAGCTAAGCTTTTCCATTTTTGCGAAAATTATTGCTTTAGATCAGTAGTTGAGCCGAAATAGTATTTATTTGGTGGAAGAGTGAGGGGTGGTACGATATGTCCATTAAATATGTAGGAATTCCTCAACCCAATTTTGGACTTGTCCAACCTTCTGCCCAGTCCCTTTAGTAAAACCTTATTTTCTGACTCGGCTCTATCGTTGGTTTGAGAGTGCTTTATGAAAGTGGAGTGATGTGTTATTTGTCGGTTGTTCTCAACACTTTGAGTCTCATGTCTGTGAATTATGGTCTATTGTCGCTCACCACTACTTATGAAATCTCTAACCAAGTAATTTGTTACTTTTGAAAAAACAAAATATATTGTGACTTATGTTTTTTGTTAGAGGTTCTGCTTCAATCAATTTTGTGAAATATTCAACGAACACAATTAGGAACTTAAGCTACCCTGGTGCTAGTAGAAAATGCCTAAGTTATCCATTCCCCTCCATACCAAATGCCACTGAGAATATAGGTTGTTCATCTTTTGTTGAAGGGGTGAAATGAACATCTTCATGTCTTTGGCACTTATTATATTTTTGGACGTGTAATCTAGCATATTTCCTCATGATCGGCCAAAAATAACCATCCATAAGGGTATTTTCGCTAACGTGTTCCCTCTAGGTGTTTCCCTACCAGTCCTTCATGAATTTCTTTCAATGCCCTCTCTCCCATTTCCTTAGTTAGGCACTTTAGCAATGAATTAGTGAATCCTCTCCAATTGAGTTATTCTTCAACTAATGAACATGAGTAGAACCTTTATTTTTCCCATTCCCTTTGATCCTCTGGGAGTTCTCTAGTTGTCTTGTACTTTATCATCAATGTCATCCAAGTTAATGTTAACAATTCCTCTTCCAATGTGTTGATTCCTTAACTAATGATTGAGTTAGCCAATGTAATGTTTCATGTATGAGAGGTTTATTGTGATCTCGTGCTTTGGAACTGGAAAACTCAAACAATAGTTATTCTTAACCATTTTCTTTTATTGGAGTGAGGTGTATCTCTACCTCTCTGAATTTTTCCATAGTTTGCTTAACCTTTTCCACATATTATTGCATGATGTTATCATTGGCCTAGTACTTATCTTAGACGCCAATCATAACTCAACTAAGCATGCCTCATACACTGCCTGGATGTTTGAGGTGTGGAATTCAAACCCAATGATAACCTTTAACTTATGATTGTGTCCTTTTTTTAGAAGTGTGGTTTAAATCGCTTCCCTTCGTATTGGATGACCCATCTACGAACACGGTCTATCTCGTGGATATATATGATTCATCAGTGGTGGTTTCTGCCATAAAGTTTGTGAACCCTTGAGCTTTGAGCGCTTTTCTTGATTCGTTGGAGATGACAACCTCTAACTTTGCTTCCCACTTTGTCATTCTTCTTACTAGGTCTAATTTGTGGAGTATATGTCAAGTAGGATTGTTAGTTCATATCATTATAGTATGGAGAGAAAATAATGTCTTAGTTTCTTAGTAGTTGTCACGAGCATTAAGGAGATATTTTATACCTCTTAATAGCAGACTTTTGGACCTTGTAAAACCTTTTCAATAAAGTAGATTGGGTCTTGTGAAGAATTTTTTCTCTTACGAAGACGGCTCCTACACCATATAGAGAAACAAAGAGGTAGACAAAAAGTGGTTCACCTTCTAATATGCAGACTAGGGCAGGTGGTGTGACAACACTTCTTTAAGTTCCACAAATGTCGTGTTGTGCTCGTGTGTCCATTCAAACATTGTTTCTTCCTTAAGAGTTTCTTAAATGGAACCGCATGATGCACTAATATGGAAATAAACTGAGATAAATAGTGTTGTACCCCAAAATTTTCCCTCTCGTTTCCTTCAAAAATATTCCCTCATGCTCCTAGGTTTTTCAATCGCTTTAGGCTACCCATGCTTTCTAGGCCTTAGGGTATCGCACTGATTCTTC